TAGAAAAATCTCTGCTTTTCATTATTTTCATTCTGTTCCCTAGTAAGAGTGGCATGCTGAAATAAAAATCATAAACAGCTATAGTGCCTTCACATTTCTTGGAGTCACGCCATCTGTTACTGAACAAAAAAACAACTCTCTCTCCACACCTCATCTCTGTCTCTAAATGCAAAGGGAAATTACCTTTTCATAGCAATTTCATGCAGCCTTTAACACTTCCATCCTCACCTGCCAGTTAAGGCAAAGATACAAATAAATAGAATAAAATACAGGCATACAGCAAATCAGAAGGAAATAGCTTTTAATGAAAGCTGTCTGCCAAAGTGCTGTTGTTTACAGACATTGTCTTTCTCTAAGAGTGGCCTTGTATTCTGAATAGCTGTCCCCATACCGTTCTAAAACAGAGAAACTTGAGTTAGTGCCTTGAATCTTGGGAAAGCTCATTCATCTTTTGTCTGGTATCAAATATTTTTTTAAGTATTCACAAGAACTGTTCAGTTTTTAGGGGGAGTAAAAATATGCTCATGTAAAGGTTTCTTTTTATTACCACCATCCATAACACACAAGTGTTTTTGAAAGACATTCCAAAAATGTCAGGCTCAGAACAGTAGGACCCAGTATTGGAGGCGGAAAGACAGATTTATCAAAAGGTTTATTAAAGACGGAACTGCAGTGAACAACATGGGCGTCTAAGGCAGGAACTTCTTTAGGAGGAGACCACAGGATAGTGACCCTATCTATTTGGCAGAGGATGATGATGAACATGTGATTCACTAACCTGGTCTTATATTTCAATCCGAGCCCAGAGGATGAGGTTAGTTCCCGCCGGTCGGCTAACAATGAGATGCAGCAGGCGCCGCCCAGAGAGCCCTAGACACTGTTTTATTAGTGGTCAAAAGTTAGGCAGGAGATCAGAACCGAGCAGATGAAGGAAGGCAGGATAATCCAGGGGGCGAAGTCAAAGCTGGTGTAGAAGAAGTTCTCAGCTGTCAGAGCCAGGAGGTCAGAGGTACTGAAGGGAAACCCAGAATGGAGTCGGGTTCGATTAACAGACAGGCAGAAATCTGGTGGGAGTCAGAGGACAGGTCAGGCAAACAAATCAGAACGGGGACAGGCAGGCTCAGAGGTCCAGAGGCAGAACGGGTCAGGATTAGGGAATCAGAAAACACAGGAATGCAAGAGAACTCTCACCACAGGCTCGAATAATCTGGATCTGATGACTAGTCTGAAGGCAGGTTAAATAGAGGCTGAAGCAGGTGGATCAGATGAGCGGTAATGAAAACTGGGCAGAGCAAGGCAGTTGAATGAAATGAGTAATCAGACCAGACATTAGTGCCAAGATCATGACAAAAACGTGACGTATGAGAATATACATTCTTTATGATTCACTTAACAGTGTGATATGTTCACACTTTGTACAGAAGGTTTAAGAGGTTGAGATTTGAACAGTTGTTATTGAGGTGAGCAAGTTTTAGATGTGTGCTTGGGCTTTAAACAGATGAATGTGCCTGGGCTTTAATAGCCAGGCAGATCTAGCAACCCTGTACAAAATATTTACTCACCTCTTGTGTAAACATCAGCACCTCTGCAGAGACATTTTGAAATTGTGTACAATTAACATTTTTCCTGTATTGTGTATTTATTCTGATTTGACATCACACTATACTTCATATGACCTTGTTAGATTGCTTAATGTCAGGGATTGAGTAATGTTAAGACTTCCCAACTAAGCGGGCATGCATTAGAGATTAATGAAATATTTTTATTTTATTTTGTATTTCTTGCTATTTCCCATGAAAGTATTTTGGAAAAAGAAAGTGTCTAAACCAAAATCCTTAACAACTGTATGGAATGTGAGATTTTCCACATTTTTATAAAGGAAATGCTTAAATAATTAAGGATTGTCCACATTCCGCAAATGAGGATGAGAATATTATGCATACTCTTGCTAGAAATGCTATCAAAATGCATATAAATCCAGAACCCTTCTATAAAAGGTGTTTTCTATATGAAGTACAAGGAAGGTCATTGCAGATCACGGACAGAGTGATAGAAGCAGGCATACAGTAGTAACTACCATTACTATGGTAGAGAACATCACATTCTTATGTTGCTTTCATGAGACATTCAATTCTTTGATGAATTTAAAATGAAACTTATTTATATTAAATAATTATTATAAATATAATTATTTAATTTATTTAATTAAATTAAATATAATTAAATATAATATAATTAAAAAATATATAATTTAATTAATTAATTCCCTGAATTAATGTTTCAGTGCTTATGCAATGTTTGCCTGAAATGTCATGAAAATGCATTTAAATCCAGTTGTTTTAATGTTGAGTGTTCCACATAAAGCTTGAGGATTGTTGACCATTTTACTTTTTGGTTAAATAAAACTTGATATATATACGTGACCTGGTTACAAGTCAATGTAAAAGAATAGGCCAAATAAAATACGATTAAATATCAATATTAGACCATATTGTGGCAATAAAACATTTTTCCTCATGGACTGAAGGGATTATTACAAAGTCTTCAGTAAGTCTTGGTTGTCATGCATCATTCCTTATTAATGATTGATTGTTAACTGTATCCCTTTAATAGTCTCATATCATATTAGTGGAACGGGATTTTTGTTTCAGAGAGTTCTGATCAATGATTGGAGATTCTTGGGTAAAAAAAAAAAAAAAAAGAACCCAATCAAAAAAAGAGGATGACAGTTTTGGTCAGATAAATAGTACATTAATTGATTGAATTTTATTGATCTCAAAATTGAGAAATTAACTCTCTGCATTTAACCCATCCCCTTTCTGCAGATCACAAGGTCTTCAAAAGCACAATGAATCAAATCCAAAGTAAGGCCAGGGTTAGGCTTCAAGATTTCAAGAAAAAAAAAAAACACACAAAAAAATTGTGAATTTTTAACCACTCAGGCCACTACAACTTGATCAATGCAAACCATTGATACTCGTACTCATATTGGTAGATATATTCTTCCTACCTGTCATCTGGTTTTCCAGGACAGGTTTGCTGAGACTCCTCCCAGACTCTCCTCTCCACATAGCAGAGCTCTCTATACCCTTTCTTTAATGGAGTGCCCGGCCATCCTCCAAAGAAAGCGCATTTCAGCCTCTTGTATCCCAGATTTTGTTCTTGCAGTTATGATTTAGATTTCATGACAATAAATGAGGTTAGGAATGTAAATCACAGGTAAAACAAGAGTTTCTGGCCTAGCTCCCTCCTCATCACAACACAGCATTCAAACGTTGACCGATTTTCCTATAAAGCATTAATATACCAAATTTAGTAATAACTGTCCTGGAGGTGGCATGTGACTGTTTGTAAATGTCTTACTGGCACTATGTGATTTATGGCAAACTAAAGTGTCAATCAACTCTCAAAAATGTAAACCTTTTGTGCTTCCAGTCTAGACAGACCCCAGAGGGAGAGTTCCTGCCCCTGGATCAGTGTGAGCTGGATGTAGGATTTGGCACGGGGGCCGATCAACTTTTCCTGGTGTCACCTCTTACCATCTGTCATGAGATCAACACCAAGAGCCCTTTCTTTGATCTCTCCCAGCGCTCGCTCATGAACGAGCAATTTGAGATAGTAGTTATTCTGGAGGGCATTGTGGAAACTACAGGTGAGAGCAAAATCTTACACCCTCATTTCTGTCTTTTTAGCTGTAATGTTTTGATAAGCACTTATGGTTCCAAATCTTTTGTTTTTATCACCGATTAGTCTGTGGTAATGAGCCTTTCTCAGTAATATGAAATATTGAACATACCGTTTAATTTCAAGGTTTTAATTATTTAGTAGCACAAGATTTTATTAACCATAGCTTTATTTTTCATGTCCCTTTCTCCCTTGGCCCTGAGGGAATCCTTCTCTATTCATTTCCCCCTTCCTTTTTGGCTGTTTTTTTTCTCTTCTCCTCTTTGCTTTTCAGACAATTCTCTGATTTCTGACCTTTCTTGTTAGGAATGACTTGCCAAGCGAGAACATCTTACACTGAGGATGAAGTCCTTTGGGGCCATCGCTTTCTCCCTGTCATGTCCCTTGAAGAAGGATTCTTCAGAGTGGACTACTCTCAATTCCACAACACCTTTGAGGTTCCCACTCCTCCCTACAGTGTCAAAGAACAGGAGGAGAAATCCTCTCTGTCATCACCAAATCCTATACCGATGGCTCCCACTCTTCCCTCCCCAGTGCTGGGCAACAGAGTAGTTCGCCGGGAAAGGCTCCTGTCAGCCGACCATGCAGAGCACCCTGAGGGCCAGGCCTCTAGGCTGCCAAGCAAACTTCAGCGGATGAGCTCCACCAAAGAGGAGCACCTGTGGAGGGCGCTAAAGACAGGGACGGCTTTGCCCGGGGGTAAAGCCTCCAGCACAGGAGACCTTTCGCTCAGTATCCAGCGGTTTAGGTCCAGTTCCATCCCAGCAGTGAAGCAAGGACAGCCTGAGGAGCAAGTTAAACTCCTGTCCCTCGACCTTGATGCTGAGGAAGGGGATTTGGTGAAACACAGACAGCAAGCAGCAATTAACACCATTGCAACACCAGCACCAGTCCAATTCCCCTTGGTGGGGAATCGGCCAGAAGACAATCTACCCCCAAAACTGCGTAAAATGAATGCTGATCGCTAAAAAAAGCTCTAAAAACTCAAAAAAGCTTCAAGGGCATTGCATAGAAACAAAGACTTTGACTGTGAGATAGGTTATCTTGATTTCCCCCCTCTGCAGTTTTCGTTCTTTACCTATACCTTATTGCAATCTCTTTACTATCTACAGATCGCCACAAATAGGACGATGCCAATAAGCCATCCATCCGCTCAAACTGTGAGTCAGTTTTGATAGATCACCATCTGTGCCCCCCACAGACTTCTAACAGTTATCTCTGTGTGCGTGTTTTTTTATTTTCTACACAGTTACATCACATGTTCTTCATAAACTACTGTACTTTTTTCAACTAAAAAAAACAAAGTTATGAGCTAATAAGCAAAACTGGCCATTTGCTACCCTTTATTACAAACTGTCAAGTGACCAGGCACAACTTAGCAAAATAAAAAAAGAAAACTGTTAAAGCAGTAAATAAGAGGTTTTTGCAGTTTTGCAATTGAAGGTTTTTTGTGGTGTTAATATGCATTGTTGTTTTAACAAGAATTGACCTTTTTTCAGGATCTTGCCTTTAGAGTTAGCCTAACTCAGGATTATATATGTAGCCATAACTGGTTGTACTCATGATTATGTATGAGCTACACCTGCAGAGGAGATTAGGAGAAACCATAGCTTGGTTAATGAATTGTTTGTTTAATCACAAACAAGGAATGAAAAGAATTCAAAACAATTAATAAATTGGGTTGTATTTCCTCAGTAGCCTGTATAAAGGACTAACATTTAGTCAAAATCCCCAAGTCCAAATTTAAGTTTGTGTTTCTTAGTCTTACCCAAAAAGCATAGAACCCCACTTCAATACTTAAGTTTAGCTGCAGCTTTAAATCTTGCATGCACCTCTAGTTGTAATCCCAACTTTGCAACTGGAGATCATTCAGAGTTAACAACAAACAATCACTTATTAATTAAATTAATTAAATTAGCATAAAAATGCTAACGACTCCACCATTTTCTTTACCACATTTGGTTAATTTTAATCTATTAATAATGTCCCACTGTGAAAATTACACTCATACATGGTTACAAAACAGAGTGCAGAGCAGTATGTCATCCCTTCACAGCCCATTAAATACCATGAAACTCATAGATGCATACTGTTACTTAATGTCTACAATTGAATTATATCTAATGAAATTAGTCTGAGTAAACAAATCCCACACTATTATTGTAGGAAACAAGAAATCGCCTCTGTTTATGAAACTACATATGATCACTGCAAACTACACATGCACATAGAGACCGATTCTAGAGAGAGAGAGAGTTATGACAGAAGAGACTGATTATTAAGTTATTTACCTAATCACATTTTTTGCATCTCAATATCCAGAAAAAAAGCTAAGTTATGAAAAAACAGTTTGGGTAACTTTATTATTGTTAATACACAAATATGATAAACCTCCAAAAGATTGTGAATTTGAATAATGAACTTCAAAATAAAAATGTCCTTAATGGAGAAAAGCTTGAAAACTTTGCAAGACTTTTTTTTTATTATTATTATTATTATTCAAGCATTTTCCAAAGGAATGTGGAACAACTATTTATTAATTTGTTTGTTTAGAGTTTGAAAAATGGAGAGGAATACAATATTGTCTGGTATTGCTTTGAGTTGTTGGCTTTGTCTCTATCCAGAATGATTATCAAATTCTGCTGCTTATGTGATTTGCAACTAGGACCGAGTCAACTCAGGTGCATTCTCTTTTCCAGGTTGAAAGTCCATGAAAATAGAAAACAGCATTATCAGCATATTTTCCCACTTGCTCTGTTAATTTTTTTTTTTAATTATGACTGTCATGTTTTAAACTATGTAGTCCACATAAACTACAATTAAATACGTTTTTTATGTATTAACATAGAAGGGAAAAGGCTTAAATAGTTTTAACTTCCTAATGTGTAAAATAAATGCTGTTCCTTTCAATAAATTTTGGTGATTTCAAGACTCTTGACTGGTTAGACAAGAAAAAAAAATAGCTTATTTATTTGATCCTCTAAATTTTAGCTCTATATTTGCTCTATTTCTACCTTCACATACAATATTGGTAACACTTTATTTGAGGTGTACATAGGACTGACATTACACTGTCATGTTCATCAAGTAACAACTGTAATAATCAAAGGAGTCTTGAATGCTTAAGACTGTTATATTATATATGTATTTGTAATTTTGTAAATAATGCAAACTAGACATTGTTTAAAATATGACAAATTGCCTTAACAGAGATTGAAATGTCTTTGTAATGATAACTTGGAATTAAGAAAGAAATCAGGGTCTGATTGAAATCACAGGTCTAATTATAAACATTAAAAAAGTTATTTAAATGCATGTGTTGATATTACACTCCACTATATAGGTGATGAGTCTCAACCTTGATTGTAATTCGAACATTTAAATTGAAATTATTTTCCCTATGTTGTCAATGTCAAATTTGCATTAAAAGTGATATACATTTGATATAAATTGTCAAATGTCATTCAGTTACAACAGACATAAACATTTAGAAAGACTCCTCCATGTTCATCACAGGTTTTAGATCATGTTTATCACAGTTTAATGTGTTATGTACATGCCTTCCAAAAAAAGTGTTATTGATATATTCAAGTAACTTGCAAAGAATTTTTAAATGGATGCCGGATCGAACAGATAAGTTCAGAAAATGTTCTATCTAAAGAAATTCAGCTGATTGCATCAAGTCACTGACACGCAGAACTTACTTTTTTCTGGATAAGCATGTAACAGCAGTGGACTGCCACTTTTATTCATTGTTGACTTGGCAGAAAGCCCTCTCACAGAGCATGCATGCATGCAGCAACAGTGGAAAGGAAAACCCTTTAACAGAAAGAAACCCCCATGAGAAGTTGGCTCACTGTGTGCAGCCTTCTAGCATGGCCAACTTGGTTGAATTAACATGAAACACACACACAAAAAAAATATTTAAGTGAGTCAGCCAATAACTATATCTATGAGGAAGACAGAGTTAACATGAAACACAGGGAAAAGTGTATCATCTCCTCAAGGAAAACATGAAATCGCCGATGCCCCCTCCAGGACAGGGTGTGAAGATATGACCTGTGAAGAGAAAACAGAGTGAAAATACATAGGCAAAAGCTGAAATAAAACAAATAACACAAAATTTGGCACTGGCATTAGAATTTAGGAAAAGAGGAAATTTTTCTTTATGCTCTCCAGCATCCTAATATAGCAACGTAGGTAAAGACATAGCTCAATAAAAGCAACCAAACTGTAGGATCAATCCGAAAGGGATGTTTTAAGCTTAGTCTTAAATGTGGACAAAATGTCTCCCACAAAAAAACAACACAACTTTGTTTTAAAAGTAGATCTAGATGGCAGATGCACTTTTTCTGTAATCATGTCCCTTTAAGCACTTACCCAGGTTTACATAACTTAATAGTACCCTAGCAGCGTAGTATACATTGAGGAAGTAAGTGTTTGTTAGTCTGCTAATTTTCTTAGTCTTTTTGCTTTTAAACTTGGCAAGTACGCAATAGCTGCTGGAGAGAATCAATGGCAAATGGAAGATATAACAAAGTGAGCATCACTCACCCATGTTTGTTTTCACTGCAAGGTGTGACTTATGGGCTGGAGATGATACAATGACAATGAGACAGCTAAAGGACTGGTCATAATTTAACAGGAAGAGCTGAGACAACTTACATAACTTTGTTTTTGGGTGGGAGAAATGCCAAGCACTATCACCACCTTTAGGCAGCTTTTTTTTCTGCAAGTGTTAAAGAACAATCTCACTAAAATCAGAGAGCAATCATTAAAGGTAACTGTCATAAAATCTGGTATTATATCTCTAAAAACAGCTAATGGATGAGTTTTAGAATATAATTAATCTTTTTATTGTCTTTACATTGTCACAAGTATGATGCAATGAAATTCATTCTGCATTTAACTCATCCCCTTGGGGAGCAGTGAGATGCCATTGTGCTGCGACCGGGAGCAGTGTGGGGGTTAAGGGTATTGCTCAGGGACCCAGGGTGACAGTCTCTGGGAGTGGGGCTTGAACTCAGAACCTCTGGGATCCAAATGCAATGCCCTATACACTTGCCCACCACTCCCCTACTGAACCCCAGACTGCCCTGGGAGCAGTGTGGGGTTAAGAGTTTTGCTCAGGAAGACAGAGTGTAGGCTGTTGGGATCGACCGGGTACTTGGAACCTTCTTAGAGCACAAGCACACTGCTCTAACCACTAGGCCACTAGCGTCTTTAATTGTGATTGCTTAACTGAAAAGTTGAAGTCTGGGAGTACAGGGGCAGTACAGCGGAAACTCCCAAATTGTGTTTTTTTTTTTTTTTTTTTTTTTGGAAAAAGCAGTAAATGCTTTTTCCATACATACATCATACAGTCTGTGTGACTGCACTATGCTTGGTATTGCTCAATATCCAGAGCTCTATGTTCTGCAAAATACATCAACAAAAGCTCATATTTCACCTTGGATGGTTAAATCACAATTCATCAAATATTAAAGCCTTGCGAAGGAGTCTAAGAATTTTCTTCTCTTTGCAAGGAAGCTTTAAGAGGGCACATGTTATGAGTATAAGAAACTTCACGATAAATTACCCTGGTGGCTGATAACCTCTCGCTGGAAGGTTAACTAACGTGCCTCCTTCTTCTTTCTTGAAATCAAAGTCCTTGACCTCCTCCTACTTCTCCAGATTTGGCTAATTATCGCGTCTTCAAGCGGACATAAGTCACGGTGCTGACTGGCTCTTTCTGGGTCTGGCACTGCCTTGATTATGGCTATCAAGATGAGAGGCAATTTTCCAGACATTACACATCTGAGGATGTCTAGTGCTAATTATTCATACAGCAGAGAATAGCAGGAAAGATATTTGATTATGCAACTTGTTGACAGCAGAAAATGACTTCCATCCAGCTTACATTTTAAGTGACTCAGATAAAAGATGTGAAAGGAATAAATCAAGTTTTTTTTTCACTTAAAGATAATAACATTTAGTGATAAATATAGCTTTAAGATTTAATAATCATCTTAACTGCAATCCATGACTTAACAATACCACATATATAAAGACGATTGGATTTGACAGACATAACAAAAGTAAAACTGAATATTGTATTTTCATACAGCAGTGTGATTTCCCTGCTTTGTTCCTAAGAGTGTCACCAGAAATTACATTATTTACTATTTTATGAGAAAATTTCGATTTTTTTTTAAATTTGAGATTGAGAGACTTTAAGGAATAAATCAAGTCCTATATATATATAACAGAACTATTAATGATGAGCAAATCATACAGAGAAACAATTCTTATACCTCAAGCTTGGTTCTCCTCCAAGAGCCAAATAAAAGAGCCCCCCAAACTGGGTTTTATACTAAAACCACACCGTCTTATGCTCCATCAGTCTCACCCAGAGTCAAGGATTGCAGCTTCCTGCCTTGACCCCCAGATTACATTATGGTCATATAAGATAACAGAAATACACAGAGCAGCATGCATCTAACAACTGTACAGCTCACATTCATAATCTATCTGTAATAGTTTAAACTTAAATGTACTCTTGAGCACTGCTCTCAGCTCAATATGAAGTTCTTTATGCATTTAAAAAAAAATAATTTTGTTCTAACCCTGTAATTATGGGGATATCTGTTATTTAAAATATATATGCTTTCTCTTATACTATTTGAAAACCTTAATTATAGCTGTAGTCATCTGTAAAAGGAATATGTGAACCGATCAGGTGCAGGCTGGACTGAGGCTGGTGTTGAGTCATTCAGTCCTGTTTTGATCTGTCTGAACATTTTTGACAGGTTTTGATTGACAGAGCATACAGAGAAGAAGGAGAAACTGTTTTAAGAGCACAACTAATAGATAACATCTGACACTTTAAAACACTGTGTGAAGAGCCTTGTTGCCCAATCAGAGAAAAGAAACACTGGGTCTAAAATCCCTTATAGAGCAAATCCATAACATTGAGTGCTGCTCTTTCTATAATGCAAACGATGTGCCTAATTGGTATGATAATTGTCATAAACACCAGGGCGCACTCCCATCTGTAAACAATAAATTAATCTTTCCTCCCTGATATTTATAAAGCACCTCCTATATTCAATAAAAGGAGAATCCTATAAAGACTGTCCTTGTATGGAGTTCGAAGAGCTTTGGCCTTATGAGCTTTACTACATACAGCACATTTTTATGTCACAACATAATGTTTCTCTGCAACATTAATTTCGTTACTGCAACTACTTTATACCCAATCATTGACACTGTAAAGCGGTATGCAAATAGATTGTTTATCGAAGAGTAAATGTATACTAAGTGGTATCTGGCAGGTTATAGCTGTAAACAGAATGATAGCTGTTGTGTGGGGAAGATGTCAGGACAAAGCTGCCTCAGATTTAGAGACATCCAAAAGAATATAATTAATGTGTGGTATTTCAAGAAGAAGGAAAAAAATGATGTTCACACAACAAACCAGGTAATAATCTTTCTTTATCGTAAAACAACACAGCTAGTATATTATTAATGATTTTGAATATTTTAGTTATACTGTACAAACCTGTAAAATCTACCACTAGGAAGACTCTCATAGTATTACATGTATAGTTTTTTTTTCATTTTATATATCATACGGTATTTAGTATAAAGTTATTTCTGTTATATTCATACTATTATATTATTATATAGGCAACAGTGGCTTCAGATGCAGGTGTTTTCCCTACAACCAGAGGGTTGTTGGTTCAAGCTCCGGCTTTCAGTGTTATTGTGTCTCTGGGCAAGACACTTCACTCACATTGCCTGCTAATTTTGGTCAGAGGGACTGATGGCGCCAATGTACGGCAGCCTCGCTTCTGTCAGTGAGCCCAGGGCAGCTGTGGCTACAATGTAGTTTGCTACCATCAGTATGTGAGTATGTGCGTGAATGGTAGGGTAAAGTTCTTTGGTCAAGTCTCCTGATTTGAAAAACCTCTAAGTACAGGTAATTTACCATTTATATTTTTAAGTTCTTCATATCATTAAAGCCAGTGTTCCATAGACCCAGTGGTTTTAATAAGGTATGTCAACCAAAAGACGCATAGTTAAAAATATTTCAATATTTTAATTGCTGCAAGGTGCTTTTGTTTATGCAAACCTGAAAGAACTTTCAAAATGACCATAATCAATGTTTTTTTAGGTACATTTTCTGGATTTTCCTTTTTTCTTATAAAGATGCAATACACACATAAAGTAAAATATTTTTCAATTTTTTTTTCTTTTGGTAATTTGGATGATTTTGGCTCAAAGTTTGTAAAAATTAGAAACTTAGTTTTAAAAAAATTTACTAGCTAGTCATGAATTACATACGGTAGATATTGTCCAGTTGTGTGGAGGTTCGAAGAGGACCCAAATA